GGAACATCTTGTTCTTTCTAGTCTATTTTGAAGTCTTGTCTTGCTTCATTAGGGCCTTAACATGAAGCAAAAAAAAAAGTGGAACATTCACGAAGCCATTGACTTCACCCAGTCTTGCCTGGACTTATGGTAGGATGCCTGGACATAGGAGCCTGTGAAGCATTATCCATTTCTCACACAGAAGCCAGTTGAGTTGGGATTAAGCTCAACAATGTGCTCTTATGTTTAGCCAGGAGCAAAGCTCTCCTCCAACACAATGGATGTGCAGGACCAGCTAATTGCTTGTCTGTGCATATCTGCATACTCAGAAAGAACGCTCACAATCCCAAGTGATGATCATCACCCCATGGCTCTATGCCTACCAGGGCAGGAAAGGAGACTGTTCGGTACTCAGTGCTCAGTGCTCAGTTTATCTCAGCTGCTGACCATGTAGTCTAATGCAGTTACCTGGACAAAAGACTTGAGTGTACTTAGAAGCTTTATACAGACATCTTGTGCTTGTTATCAAAAATTTTTCATCAATAAAGAACTATTTTCTACTTAACTTCAGGTGGGCACAAAAGTATCCAGGTATTATGGAAAGCAGTTCACTGAATAACTGCTGTAAAGTCACCTCAAGCTAAGGAAAATCAAGCTGAAGAGAACAATGGTCAAGAATGTCACATATAACAAGTCCCCTGCTTTGAACACAGAGGCCCAGGTTTCTGAAAAGTATACCTGAAATTTATCGAGGAGAAAGAGTAAGTTCCAATTACAGTGCAAACATATATATTTTCTGAATTCAGGATTCAGAAAGCCATTGTCTCCCCTCAGCCTTCATGTAATTTGGGTGCCCCTGGAGGTGAAATGAAGGTTGGGACATCTTTCTGATTCACAGGAAGGCAGTGTTCCCACTAGAATCTGCCTAAGAACTCTCCTTTTTAGCCTATTTAGTCCAACAATGGAAGCTGAAAGAGTGACACACTTTGAATTTAGTACTTCACACATCAGCAAGTAGAGATATTCACCACCACCTGAGGAAGCTGCAGATGAGATGTTTACTGCCCATGAAGCAGCCTTCATAGTCAATACCGGTATTAGTTTCTGATCACTGCTGTAAAAAATTATCACAAGTCTACTGGTTTAAAAAGCAAACTTACCACCTTACAGTTCTGGAGTTTTGAGGTCCAAATGGGTCTTGCTGCACTTAAATCAAGATTTCGGTCAATTTCTGTTTGTCTTGGAAGCTGTAGGGGAAAGTCTGTTCCTTTGCTTTACATAGCTTCTGGAGGCAAGGTCTTCTTACGTTTTCTAGCCCTCAGTATTTGGCATATGCCTGCAATCCCATCACTTTGACCATTGCCAAAATAATTTTCCAAAGAGCTTTTAATCTTGGAAAGAAGTGGGAAGTTTACCTTGTCATATCTCTGGCTTCTGTTACTACATCTCTGACAATCCTGCTTCTGTCTTTCTCTTTTGAGGATCATTGTGATTACACTGGATCAACCCAAATGATCCAATATAATCTCCCATTTCAAAATGCTCACTGTACTTAATCCTATCTTCAAAATTCCCTTTGCCACATAAAATAATATAGTCATAGTTTTCATGATTAGGAATTTGACATCTTTAAGGGGTGTGTTCTTTTGCCTAACAAAATGCAGTTTTTCATTTTCAAACCAGAAGCTGCTGGCCAGTTCTATACTTAACTTTTCTTTTCCACTTACTTCAACCCACCACCTGCCTCTTCTCTTACTCCAAAGTATTACTTGTAAATGCCCTATTTTTATAAGATTAAGAGCCCTTTGGAAAAGTGGATATTGTGTTTCAATTATTATTACTATAACAACTGAAAAAACTAGAGAAAATACATGGAAAAATGGTTATCAGACTTTGAGCATCAAGCAATGAAAAACAGTGATGTATTGTGATTCACAAAAGGGCAGTGTTAGGAACAGTGAGCAAGATTGCCCCAGTTTGCTGTCTGGGAAGATTCTCTACCAACAGGCAAATGAGGGATTACAGGCAAAATACAGTGGGGTCCTGGGGTTGGGAAGGGATTGGAATATCTGTGGCTAGAGTTTTTAGGGGAGAGAATCACAGAGAAGAGAAAGAAGATCTGTTGAGGTCCTGCTTCAGTTTTCAGCTCTTCCATCTTCACTTGAGTTCTGATGGATATATGTTTGCAAGGATACTATATCCAGGACTAAAGAAAAAAATCTCCAAAAAGATTGGAGGAATAATATTAGGTGTGCATACAAAGCCAGGAAATGTTCCTGTTTCTACCATTTAGAGTGCAAAACCTCAGAATCCATGAAGAACTGTATAGCTTTCTTAGAAATATTTAGCTTGAGTATGCAAAGTTACTGGTATAATACAAACTACTCTAATCCCATATAATGAAGGTCAAAAGCAAATTCTCAAAGGATCAAACTGCAAATAACTCAAGTGCATCCCAGAATAAAGCATAAGAATATTTATAGGAATATAAATATATCCAGCACTGAAAAGGTAAAATTCACAGTGTGTGACATTCCCTCGGAAATTAGCAGAATTAATATTCAGAAGCAGGACAGAAAGTGTGGTTTATAATGAGGACAAAAATCAACCAACTGAAACTGATTACACAAATGATAAAGTCAGTAAACAAGACATTAAAAGAGTTATTATAGCAGTATTTCATAAACAGAAGCAAGAGGAAAGATTCCTTATGATGGCTAGCGATGTGGAAGACATAAAAAGACTCAAATGGATCTTCTAGGGATGAAAGCTACAATATCTGAGAGGAAACATACAGCAGATTAAACATTGGATAAAAAAGATTAATAAACTTGAAGAGATAGCGATAGAAACTGTCCAAAGTGAAGCCCAGAGAGAACAATTTTTTAAATGAAAAAATAAAATAAACGGAGCATGAGAAAGCATGAGAACTTTAAACATAAAATATACATGTAATTGGAGTTCCCAAAGGATGAGAGAGATTATTTCCAGTTTTGAACAATTTTGAGTAAAGTGGCAATGAATATTCATATATTTATGTGGGTATATGCTTTCAATTAACTTGGGTACATACCCAGGTGAGAAATTGTTGGATCCTAGGGATCATATATACTTAACTTTTTAAAAGATATTGTCAAACAATTTTCCAAAGTGATTTTACCATTCTATACACCTTCCAGCAACAAAATTCCAGCTTCTCACCAAAACCTGACCCAAAAGTTTGTGGTGTTGTTACTCTTTTTAATTTTAGCCATTCTAGTGAGTATAGAGTACTAACTTGCCTTGCTTTTCATCTGTTTTCCTGATGATGAATATTATTGAATATCTTTTCATAGGCTTACTGTCCATTTGTAAATATATTTCTTTATGAACATGCATTGAAATATTTTGCTTTTATTTTATTGGGTTATCTTCTATATTAGTAAGCTTTCTGTGGCTGAGACACCATCCCTGAGATCCACAACTCAACAGAGGAGACATTTAATTTGGTTCACTGTCTGAAGGAACGCAGCCCATGGTTGGCTGACTCTGAGGTGGGAATGTCATGGTGGAAGGTTGTGGTGGAGCAATGCTGTCCAGTTCATGATGGCTTGAAAGCAGAGCAGGATACAGTGTGAGAGAACAACAGTTAGGGTCCTTGTGCAGGATCAAAGGCCACACTGTGACCTATCCAGACACACCTGGGCACGTGCTTTACCAGTCTGCTGGGTATTTCTTAATCCATTGAAGTTGACATATTGGGATTAGCAGTCATATCTTCTTATTAAAAAGTTATGAGAAATTTTGTAAGACGAGTCTAATATAATTATTACAAATATTTTCTCTTCTTTAGTGGCCTTTATCATTTTTGTAGTGGTGACTTTTAAATGGTTTTTGTTGTAATAATTGGTATACAATAAAATGTACATGGTTAAAATAAAAATTTTGATCAGTTTTAACATACGTGCACACCCAAAAAACAATCCCAAGAGAGATTATGTAAAGGTGCAAATTTCCAATGATGAATGGCATTATATTGTATACCTAAAATGTACCAATAAAATTAATTAAAAAAACAAATGCAGAAACAAACAAACAAAAAAACCAATCCAATCAAGTTAGGGAACATATTCATCATTATCGAAAGGTTCTTACATTTTGACTTCCTCTCTGATGCTCTTACCATCAACCTCAGGCAACTATAAATTTGGTTGGTATCACTATAGGTTACTTTGCATTTTCTTTAATTTTATATAAATAAAATCATATGACATATGGCAATTGAGAACATATTTTTAGTTGGCTTCTTTCACCAGCAGAATCATTTCAATACATCTATATTGTTTATGTAATAATCCTCTTTTTATTGCTGAGTGGTAGTCCATTGCATATTTATGTTGTTGAGTATTTGCATGATTTATGGGTTTAGGCTATTAAAAATAATGCTGTTATGAGCATTTGTACATATGATTTTATTTCTTCTGGGTCTAAAATCAGTGACAGTGGCATCTACCTCAAGATGCAGTAAAAGAAGAGCAAATGAATTGTAAACTAAAAAAAGTCTGGTAGACTCACCAGAGAATGGAGATATCAGAAGATATAGAGTAGGTTCTCCATATATATGTTTTCCACATGCATTCATAGATTCAACAAAACTCAGAAGAAAAATATTTATGAAAAAAAAGCATTGGTACTGATCACAAAAGAACTTTCCCCCCTTGTCATCATTTCCTAAAGAATAGAGTATAATAACTCTTTACAAAGCACTTATATTATATTACATATATAAGTAATCTACAGATGACTTAACATGTAGAAGAGGATGTGTGTAAATTATAAGCAATACTAAGCCATTTTATATAAGGGACTGGAACATCTTTGAGTTCTGGTATCCCTAGGGGTCCAGGAATGCTCTCACACAAATACCAACTGTAAGCATGTAAATACAGAGATATACCTCCATTAAAATTAAGAACATCAACTTTTCAAAACAGTACTAAGACAATGAAAATACAAGACTCAAATCAGGAGAAAATACTTACAGGTCACATATCTAATAAAGACTGTTTCCAGAATATTTGAAGATCTCTCAGAAGCCCGTTGAAAATCACCCTAAGGGAAAATGAGCAACACATTTGGACAGTTCCCCAAACCAGATAAACATGTAACAAATAACTACAGATAGAGATACATGTATCAGAATGTTCAAAGTTAGAAATATTGGCCACATCAAATGGTGGTGAGAATGTGGAGGAATGAGCACTGTACTCATAAACTTCTGGTGGGAATGCAAATGGTACAAGTAGTTTGGAAAACAGTTTGGCCATTTCTCAAAACTCGCAGCATACATCTGCTGAATGACCCAGCCATTCTACTCAAATATTTTATTTTGTAGTACACAACTTTGAAATTCAGATAAGCTATTGGATGGAGCTTCAAGCTTATGATTTGATTTTCCTCATGAGAAAATGTGTTACTCTGTGTTTGTGCACGTACCACATATGTGTGTGTGGGTGGGTGGGGTGCCATGTGTGTGGTGTCTGCTATGTTTGATAGTCACATGATAACACCCTTTGTGAGATTATGGATAATTTTTCTATGTTCAAAGTATTCTTAAAGTTGTTATGTTGCTTTGAAAATAAGATTGATACAGAATAAGAAAGGATTATTCAAATGTTATTGCAGATAGTATCAGTTTATGGAACGTGTGTCTTCCTGTTGTCAACTGGAGAACCATGTGCTACTTCTAGGTTGGAATGTCCTTTTATGTCTTTCAAAAGTCACATTACTTGAAGAGTATCCTTCCTTCATTAAACTTTTTTTTGGTGCAAATAATGTTAATAAAATTTGTTCCATAAAAACTTTACATAAGCATTGTGACAAAATTCGTATTAACTTGAGCACTCTGTTACTTCCTCTAGTCATACCATTATTTTGTATTTTATGAAGTGGCAATTCCTGAAATGCATTAATTGTTCGTCTACATTTGGAGTACTTTTTTCTCAACTGCCTCAGTTTTTCTATTATTGTCACTTGTTTGTATTTTCCAATGGAAAAAAATTAAGTTACATATATATTTATTGTGAAGACTTCAAGTCAAAAAATTTCAACCGTCAGGAACCTGAAAACAAGCTTGGCCCTTGATTCCTTTTTCCTACCCCCTGGATAGGCACAACTGCTGGGTTTCCAAAGCAGCAGGTGTGGTTATGAGGAACACATTCAGTCAAACCTCCAACATGGCACCAGGGAAGATCCATTTGCTTTCCAATAAAACCAGAGAAACTTGTCCTCCAGTCGACAGCTTCCAGCACACACTGGCATTTCCATTTGGCCTGTGACGCCCGCCGCCCAGCCTCCCAGGCTCTGGCTGTTGTGACAGCCGTACAGCAGTGCAAAGACTAAAGGAGATTTCAGAAAAAGGGATTGGGAGCTGCTTCCCTTTCAGTGGGGAGATGTACATGATTTCACAGTGAAAAAAGATATCTGATCTTTGCAGTCCTCTTTGTTTCCCCTCTCCAAGTTTTACAGCCCTTTTTTATCTGTAAATAAAAACAGTTGTACATACATTTTCAAAATGTGCTGCATAATACAACTTCATACATTTAGGAGGATGACAGCTGCCCTCTGAGGTAAAGCCTGACAGCCTAAAATCCAGAAATCAATCATTTAGATACAGTGATGCTGTGCCATTGCTCCCGGTATGTATTGTAGCACCCAGGAACCACTTATTTGAGACATGTCACTGTAACTCTGATAGATTAAAGCACCACATACAGGAAACAATTGCATGTGGGGGAAAATACTCTCATAGATCTGCCATGTTACAGCCCAGAATCCAGCAGCCAACCCAGGAAGTCTGTGCTGCATCCAAGCTTCCAGAAACCTGTGAAGCGGCAGGATGACAGTTCTGTTCTTCAACAGCGCATTATGAACTAATTAGCATACATGAATTGCAGATTTGAAGCATTAAAGTGATGTACAAATCATTAATTTTTTGTCAAATCCATGTCATCCTTGTGTATGCCTTCCTATTTTAATGTTGCATGACAGTGAAAAGAGGTACAATCCTCTGTATATAAAGAGGAGAGATTTGGTGTAGCTGATATAATGAGATCTATTTAAACACTATGTATTTTTCAGCTTTGAATACATCTGCCTGGGAAAATGCTGCTCTTGTCCCATTAGGGTTAATTGTGAAAGGATGTTAATATATTCCAAACCCCAGGGGTAGTTCTACATGTTGTCTGAATGAAACAGGGGATGTAAGACCTACTTCACATTGGAGCTTTCTTTTTGAAAAGTCCTCTTTTTGATTAATAAAATCTTTCTCACCATGGAAGGTGTAACTATTTATAACGAGCTGAGTTTGAGGGTGTGTGAGGATTCCAGTGCAGCAGAGAGCTAGTTAACCCAGCACCAAACTTAATTTATAAAGACGTAGACTGTGATGCTGTAGAAAAGGGAAAAAATATCAAAGCAGACTTTAACTCTAGAAAAGGCTTCTAAATTTCCATTTGTGAGTTTCTGTATTTTCTCTATGTATTTAATTACTAAAGCTGTTTGTGCTTAAACAAATGCTTGGCATTTCATTTGAATTTCTTGTTTCATATTATAGTGAAGTCACAATTTGTAATTTGTTAGTACTGTAATAGTTTCCATGGAAACAGTGTTATATATAAATATGTATGTGTTATGTATACATATGCGTATTATAAATGTGTACCGTAGATGATTATGATTCCAAAAGACTTAGCTCTCAATGAAAACCTGAATTAAAACTGCAGCTATATTTTGTGAATCTAAAGATGGCCACAAACTCGGTTCTCCTTTCCCTGTGGGAAATATGAGTTTTGGGAGGGGCAGTAAAGTTTGCAAGGAAGCAGAGCCATTTGTGCCCACTTTATTCCCACCCTCTTCCTCATCAACATAAATGACACCAATGCTGGGTAAGATGAAAACTAAGAGAAAATTCCAGGGCGAAAGGGGTATTATTCCAGAGGACTTCAAAATGGTTGCATTGAGAAAGGAGTGGACAAGGTGAGATAGTTTGTTTCATTTGTGTCACTGAGAGAGGGGAATTACCAATAAGGAAAAATGTATACTCTTACAACATCTTCATTAGGCATGTTGCACATTTCCAATTTTAATCCTCTCAGTAAATATGTATGGTCTGTATTATCTTCATTTTAAAGATATGGAACATGGAGCTCAGAATAAGTGAAAATTGTTCACAATTGAATAACTAGCCATGAAGGTTATATTTCCTAGATGTCACCTTGCTATCCTGAGGCCTTCATTAGGACAACATTCAGAACCATAAACCTACTCTTTTTTATTTTCCAGTATTGGAGGAATGCTCTTCCAGGAATGTTCTTCCACTGAGGTACATCCCCAGCTTTTCAGTTTTTTAAAATTAATTTTATTGGTACGCTTTAGGTATACAATATGCTGACATTCATTATTGGGAATTTGTACCTTTACATAATGTCTTGGTTCTTATTTTTCCCCCATTCCTCTGCCCTCCACTCAACCTTCCACAATAGATTTGAGGAAAGGGAAAAATGGAAACCCAGCTCTTTAGTCATGATTTTGAGACAGGGTCTTGCTATGTTGCCCAGGCTGACCTTAACCTTATATAAAGACAGTTTCAATTATTTGATGTTACACATTGCACTTTGACTTTTTTCATGTCCTTGGGTTTAACCAGTGACATGTTGAGTAACTTCTAAGAACTCTATAAATATGAAGCACTTCTCAAATACGTATATCATTCTTATACAAGGGCTATACTAATCTTTCCTGTATCATAACCAAATACAGCACAAGCTTGTCTCTGTTTAGCAATTACCAGTCACTTTGCAGGCAGCTCTAACCAAAACACTGCTCTTGCTTATATGCCATTGGCCAGCCCTTTACATGTGGTCATGCCATGGAGGCAAAGAAGTCTGAGGAGGTGAGTCATTTTTCCTGAGCCTAATGCTGCCATTAATAAAATGAGGGTTCTGTTAGTAAAGAAGAAGGGATTAATGGTTACTGGGTAGGCAGTGTCCAAGACAGACATTTCCTCATAACTTTGGATATCTTCCAAGACAGACATTTCTTCACAACTTTGTCAAGAATACGTACACATTGATGGAAGAAAAGAGGGCCTTTGCATCATAGAAAAATGTCAAGCGCACATTCTGACACATGATTAGATACCAGCTGGACATCACACATCATCTCACAGCTTCTTAAATCTTTGGTTCCTGTTCTTAGGCCTTTCCTCTGAAAAATCCTTATAATTTACATTACTGATTAGTGTTGCTCTGTTTTGTGAATATGTCTCCCTCCAAAATTTATATGCTGGAACTTATTCCCCAAAGTGATGATGTTGGGATACAGCCCATAGGAAACGATTAGACCATGAGAATTCCACCTTCACCAATTTGATTAGTGCCCTTGAAAAATGGCTCAAAGGGACTATTAGCCTTTTCCATCCTTTTTGCCACATGAGGCTGCAGCAGGAGACACCATTGTGAAAACAAAGAAACAGGCACTGAGTCTTTGGGCACCTGATTCTTGGACCTGCAGCCTCCAAAACTGTGACCAATAAGTTTTTATTGTTAGCCAATTTCTCCTCAGTATAAATATTTAATATTTTTGTTATAGCAGCAACAGTAAAGATAGCTGCTTTATGGGTGTTTGGTCATCAGCTTGTTCACTAGTGTCTCTCAAAACCTCAGTAAATGGTGGCAGTGGACACTGTTTGAGTATGTGGGTTTCTCAAAAGCTGCAGAGTGGTCAAGAGCTAAGAAGTCACACAGAACTAGAGGCTTCACCTCTCACAACCCATGTGATGCTTAACAAGTTCTTTGGCTTCTCTAAGCTTTGGTTACCTCATCTGATAAACAAGGACAATAAAAACACCTCCCTGAGAAGTTTTCTATGAGAAGATATGAGTCAATGCATAAAATGTACCTAGAAGAATATGTAATCCATGGTGAGAATTTGACCAATGTTCATTATTTTATTATTACCATTAGTCAAATTGATCTGGATCCAAATCATGAATCCATTATTTTCTTCAACAAACTATTAATAGTATCTGTTACTCAGTTTCATCATGTTGA